GAGAGAGAGAGAGAGAGTGAGAGAGAGTGTGAGAGAGAGAGAGAGAGAATAATACTCGTTCAATGATTTGGCTGGCTTGATTTTGCGAAAATATGCATTTTTTGACTGAAATACCCTTGTCTACTAATTGAGAGAGAGAGAGAGAGAGAGAGAGAGAGAGAGAGAGAGAGAGAGAGAGAGAGAGAGAGAGAGAGAGAGAGAGAGAGATGATGACCTGTACACAGAACATAGCTCTAGGTGGGATTTTCATGTAGTGGCCAAGCTTGAAATCGGATATAAAAGTGAGAGCTTGAGTCATGCTAATGTATCCGTAAACCTTGAAGCACATGTTAGCAACCGGCCGACCAGGGTACACGTATCCGATAATGTACTCCGTGATTATATTTAAACCTGGTTGCTGTTTTCATTAATCAGTCAAACAAAATACATGTGAGAAAATCGAAAATCGGAAAATTAAGAACATATATCTCAAAAAAAATAAAAAATCGAACCTGGTTTGTAGTGGCAACAATTATACCAATAGGAAGTGTGTAAATAAGTGCAATAGCACAAGAGAGCAAAACACCCCACCAAGGCAACTGTAGCGCGCTTTCATAATGCATGCAAGCGAAAAGAATAACCGCAATATTAATCACGAGTATAATTAAAAACCACCACATAGGAACTTGTTTGTATGCTTTCATTAGCCTAGTGTGTACATCCATTTTCGTGTTCGGTTTAAACACCGATTTTGTCTGTCTCCACAAATCCCTGCATTCCACCAATTCACACATATTATAACATTTTTTTTTCTCAAAAGAAACAAAAAAAAAGCATTTAAAATGTGCATCAAGAATCAAGATTACCTTCCATTGAAGAGTAAAACATGGACTAAGGTAGCGGAAAGTGTAGCGAACCCAAGGCCATAAGTAAAGGCAAACAGGGTGCTAAGATACAACGGACCCGATTCATTATAAGCCGCCTTATCAAGATTGAAATTCGAATTAATAATAGCCGTTGTATTGTACTTGGAGCCGTCGAATTGGAAAAGATTCGAAGAATAGATAGGGAAATTCTTGGCATTATAAATGTTGAGCCAATAACCCAACGGTACAATCACATACATCATGAGGAAAAAACCGACCGCGGCATTTGCAGAAGCAAACCACGGGCTTGCAAGTGGGCTGCCGAGATAAGACGAAATAGTCGACCAATCTAATCCAATTGACCCGATTCCTAAACCTTGTAGACCAGAACCTAGTTGTTGTACTAAGACAGATTTTGGGGCTAGCCAACATATCCAAGAAAGTGATGTCAGCATTTGGAAGATGTAACCTGGGAAAATGTAGTATGCAAAGCTGCAAACCAAGGCTATGAGGAAAAACTGCGTTCGGCTCGTTCCTCCCTTTGGTCTCGTTTCTTTTTCGTGTAAAGCCCTGCAATAATATTAATAATAATAATTTAAATTTTGACAATGTATAAAATTACCAGAAACTGGGAGTGAATGAGAGTACCTGAATAGTGACACCTGGACCAAATTACTAGGCCACCACATCTCTGCTGGTTCGACCAGATGTTTACGGAAAATTCCGGCCCAACCATATCCTAGGAGCTGTGTTTTATTACATAAAGAGAATGGATTATTACATATAGAAATATTATATTAGCACAAGATATATATAGTCTCCAAAATTTGATTTATTTCATCTCTACTCATTAATACATCATGGTAGAGATCTCTAAAATATTCTTAAATAAATTTAATTAAACCTTTTTTTTTTCTTTCTTGATAAATTACAGCAAATTAAATCCTAAAAATTTACCTGAGATGTCATCATAACAATAAAGGCGGGCAAAAAACCGAAGCTTTTCTTGTAATAAAGCTTAACAGCACTCAAAATATGAGTAGCATAAACACTGCCGGCACCGGCATTAGCAAGCATGGTAATCATAACATGCTCCTTCATATTAAACGGGCCCGGATTCAAACTAAACTCGAACCTCGTACCCTGCAAGAAAACCCTTTTGGTCAAAATTCTAGCCATAAGATGCCCCAAAGGCACCACAGCAATCTGGGCCGAAATCGAACCGATCACAAGCGGCTCGCTCCTGTACCAAAAAAACTGGTTCACGAACGACAGCAGAAGACAGGCTGTGATTCCAAGAAACCACATTCTGAACGTGTAGACCGGTACAGTTGGATCGTCGGTTTTCGGTACGGTTACTTCAACTTGTTTTATGGGACATTCGTCTGAATAATCTGTCATAGTATCCATTGCTATTTCTCTTTTGGTGTTGTGAACCATGGGTAAAGAGATTTTTTAACCCTCTGGTTTTTTTTTTCTTTCTGCTTCTTGTTTTCTTTATGCATGGAAGGGGATGAATTAGTGACGTGTATATACATATGTATATATACATATAGTTATAGATGGAGAGATACATACGCTCCGAGAATCCTACTTAGGTAAGAGTTGTTAAAATGTAGGGGATTCGTATATACTAAGTTGTATATTTCCAAAATTTCAGGTTATCTTGTTGTTGGTTACAGATAAACCCTAATTCAGATTTTTAGCATCTGGTCCGTTTTTGGGATGGTATTAGTGGTTTAATACCAAAGAAATTATAAACAGTAGAATCCACTTTCTGCAAGAATCTATACAGACCTATATGATAAGGATAATATAAGCATAAATTTTTGGGGTTCAAGATATAAATGACAAGTTTAATTAAACATTTGCTTCACATCCTTTATAAATTTTATTCTAAAATTACCCCACATACAAAAAATAAATATGCACCAAGTAATATTTAAATTGCATTTATCATTTTTTCATTCTGCATTTAATATATTTTTATTTTTACATCTAGTAGTTTTATTATTATTTTTTTTTCGTAGTACGTTTTTTTTTTTTCATTTTCGTATTTTTTTCTTTTTTTCTACATAATATTGAAATTGTGATTTTTTAATTTGTTTCGGCCGTAGTCTTCTATAGAAACGCGTAGAAAACCGTAGTAGTCTATAGTTATGTATAGACACTCGTAGGATACTGTAGTAATCCATAGTCACGTATTCTTAAAACTCTAATTCCTCCTTTGAATCCTAGCCGCCAGACACCATAAACACCCATAGATACTCGTAAACAACTATAGACATGAAATCGAGAAATCTTAGATCCGTCCCACCAAACCGTAGATCTACTCCACCAAACCCTAGATCTGTGACGCCAACGTCACCACGTCGTTAAAGATGCCACAAAACCCCCCACGCTGAGAGAGATATCTTGAGATCAAGAGAAATAAATCGAGAGATCGAGACAGAGAGAGCGAGACAGAGAGAACCAGAGAGAGAAGAAAAATAAAGAGGAAAAACAGTAGAGAACCAGAGAGAGAAGAAAAATAAAGAGGAAAAATAGTACTGAGAAAAAACGTAAATATGTGGGTTATAAGATTTAGGATGTAAGGGCAAGATGGAGATTTAAAAAAAAATTAAGGATGTGGGTCATATATTATTTCAATCTAAGAATTTAATTAAAAAAAAATTAGATTTAGACTTGTCATTTAGTTCAAATTATGTTTCATATGAAGAGCTCCTAGTATATTACCCCTAAATTTTTTACATTTGTTTTCACCGATGAAATTGCTCTAAAACTATTTATGTACGAAATATAAATATACATATTAAAAAAAAAAAACGAATTTGCCAAAAAGACTAATACAGTAAAAGATTACCACAACAATGTCACTCCTCAATCTCAGAACAAGGGCCAAAATAGACAACTGCCCATCTTTTTTTATTTGATATTGTTTAGAAGGGATAAAAAGAAATTGTACAATTATCTAATATACTCTCTTAGTACCAAAAAAAAAAATTCCGAAATAATACAATTGAGCCATTACTAATACACATCCATCATGTGCACCAAGTATGCATCACACCATTAGATTTTGTACATGGATTTGATTTTGTGAAGAAGAAAAAACCCGAACACGAATTTGTGAATACATACCTCAAATCAAAGAATCAAAGTTTCTAAAGACAGAGCTCGTAAAACAGAAACGAAAGAATCAGAGTTTCTAAAACAGAGCTCGTAAAAACAGAAATGAAAACAACAGATAATCATCTACTCATCAATCATCATACAGATGATGAAAGCAGCTCTAAAAACGGAACTACTTCCGTTCAACTCGTTATGTCAATTGTCATCCTCCCTGAATTACTCCAATAAGCTGCCATTTTATGTGCAATTCTACCTGCACATATTCCTCCTATACAGTTCCTTCACATTTTCTTCACCTATCTCAAGCTGCAACCCATTAAATATACTGCTACCTAATTTAACGAAGAAATTTCACACACCCTACGAATATTTACTCTTGTACAAGAGTTTAAGGAACTCCATTCTGAGTTCTGCATTGGGGATGTATAATACATCATCTGTCCAACCGAACAGTATGTTCCATACACAGAGAGACAATAACAGTGCACTATACAAGCAATATAACCTCCCATAAAGAACTTCACAAAATAAGCCAAACATGTCAATAGATAGCTATTTCTTCATGTGTGTGTGTGTGTGTGTGTGTATACACACAGAGGCCACGACACTGTACTGAAGCAATGTACCTATCAAGATCAAAATCTGCTCCCAGTGGACCAAAAAAGAAAAACACATAACAGATAGAGGCTAACTATGCACTACAAGCAAACATAGCCTAAGAGGTTAAGAGTCTCCGGTGGATTCTTTCACCTTCGTAAGGGGCAGGGAGGTAATTTTTCAGACATGGGACCTCTAGTTACAAAGAGTTAGTTCTTTTTTTTCGTATAGTAGCAAAAAGAAATATTAAACCATTATCCCCCAACTTATTTTCTTAAGTACGAGAACGCCGTAAGAACCAGAATAGTGACGGCCTATTCTGAGGAAGGTTTAGGCAGTAATTTAAGAGAATGGAGAAGTATTTGGGGAAGTGGAAATCTATTCAGGATTAAAACCCTCAATAGTAGATAAGACTGAAGACGTATAAAATAGATGCAAACACAACATTCAACTTGAAAAGGAATTACAGATCTGACAGATACCTAAACAAAAAAAAACGGGTTAATTAAATTATAAAGGGTTCATAATACTTCCCATCCTGAAAAACTAATTACCGAGCTACGTTGAGAGGCAGAAGTTGCATATTTTCCAGGTATAAGAATACCCAAGAAATGTAGTCATTATAGCACATACAAATTGTTCGAGGAAAATAATGAAACTAAATAAACAGAGTGCAAGGTCGCTCTACCTACAATATTTAACTACATCAAGCTGGACAGGGAGCGAATGTAAGCACGTTCATATAAAAAACCAAGAGATCGGTGGCGCAAATGAATTTGATAATCTCATAGCACGGGACAACAAACCAGCAGTCGTAGGAGTTACCCTCCAAATCACTAGCCATTATTATTACAAATGTATTTTAAAATTATTGTGACATCATTGTAGTCTCTACTAAAATGGGCCGCAGATAAAGAAGAGAAAGGTAGGGCTACGCAGCCGAATACGCAAATAGTATATCTGACGAATCGTAAATCTCCTTATCGAGTGGGTCCTACGCAGAAGCGTTGTTACACATTCAGAGAAATCGATTGGCCATTTGTCAGTTTCTCCCACGTCGCCCGCCCCCTGACCTTGCACCGGGATTGCGAGCAAATTGGAGATTTATGTTGGATGATTCGCGGTCGTGCTCATCGAATTTGTAACCTGCAAGATTAACTCCAACTACTTTATGGTGCAACTGTCGTCACTTCGAACGACGATGGAAAACGCGGGGTTGTATTGATTGATATTTGATATATATATTTTCATTTTAGTTTCTTTAGGTTGAAACTAATGTCAACATTCACATGTATACCATGAAAACTTGTTTACGAAGAGTACAAAAGCCATTGAGAACTTTGAGTAATCCAATCTTTATTTCTCTGTGGTGTGTATATATCTAGATATACGTGTTTATGTATTTTTAGATCCGATGGCGATATCAAATCTACCTAATCCCCCTCCCCCATCTGCCGCAAGTCGAACAATACAAGAATGTATTGAAAAGGAAACAAGATTTCTCTAAAAATCTGTTCCTTTAAAAAAAAAGGTATAATCAAGTAGCCTTGAAGTCAGTACTATATTCTAGAGAATTCATGACACCTCGGCAACAGAGTGGAGTTTTCATCTAGGCAAAGAAACAGCCATGATAAACACAGTAAATTCATAGCTGCTGAATTTATATGAGTTTGGCGTTCAAGTTCAGTCTATTTGGAGTAACTAACCATATAAAGGCCACAGTGTCTCACTACTTTTAGGACACGACATCAAATCTAATCAAAGCAAACTGAGGACTATAGAAATCAAAACATCTGTCAGACTCACCTTGTAGTGCATCCATTGCCGTTGCAGCATGAGCCGGACTCAGAAAATCAACGAAGCAAAGCACCTGCCCATGTAAAGATTAGTTTCTAACAGCATTATCAAACAAATACAACCATACGTGCATTTAAATTAATACAAAATTAAATTGATTCTTACATGTCTAGACTGCGGCTTGTCTACAAGCCTTACTTCCTTATATCCAAGAAAAGGGCGAAATATATCTGCAAACTAAAGTAAAGGAGCAAAACCAGGTTCGAATAACAGGGTATTTTCATAAACAAAATAGAAGGATACGAGACACCTCTCTCCGGGTGCAATCTGCAGGCAAGCCCTCCACAAACAACGTGCTGGTAGCATCATGAGGGAGTTGAAGTTCAGGTCGAGCCCCCATTACCACGGATCGGCTTATTTCAGCCCCTACTTGATCTGACCCCCCCACTGCAACTCCCCTTGGATCACCACCATATGATGAAATTTGCTGGTACATTGCACCATTGTTTTACAGAATCAACAACTGAGGTACACGTCAATCGGGGAAATTTAAAATAATAGACAAGAAATAAAAGACAGTGAGTACCGCGCTTCGCAAGTAGCGTTCATATGAGGCATTAACGGAGTCGGTATCTCTAGTGATCTGGTGTCCTGCCATCTCATTCTCACGAGCATAGTAGCCAGGCAAATCATGGCCACTTGGAGTTTCTACACAATTCATGAGAAATCATGTGAACTCACTAATAAAGGGGAATTAGTAAACATTAAATAGGCATCCGAAGGTATCAATTACAGGCTACAACGTCACAATCGTTACACGTAATCTAACCAATGATCACTTTTCCGGTTGTCCCCATTATTAATGCAGATTTTGTGCCCAACTTTCATCAGAAGATCTCAGTAACTAACCTCAAAAGTCAATTTTCAACTGCATATACCCGATCACGACAAAAGAATTAAATTTTACAGATAATCGAAACTTTAAACTTCGATTCCACAGTCAGATATAAGAACTTAACCAGTGTTGCTAATTCAGCCGCCAATTTAAAAATAATCAGCAACACGAATTCAGAGATATAACTTACCAATTCCTCTTTTGACGAATCATTCCCAAAAAACAGAGATTACTCAAAACAAAAGGGGGAAAATCTACAGATACTAGTACACACATACAGCAAAAAACCAATTCCTTAACCCCCTCCCCCAAAAAAAAATCAAAAAACCTTTACTTTTACATACCAAAAAAAAAGGATAAATGATTTCGTGGTTAGTTACCGAAGTTCGAACGGGGTCGTTTCGCCATGTGAGGAAGAACCGCGGGAGGCTGCTGCTTACCGTCAACAAATCTCCAATAAGGATCCCCCATTTTCTACTCTGAATGATTAAGAGAATGTACAGATTGGAAAAGGAAAATAACTAAATAAGGTGAATGTTTAATCACTTGACAAAAAAAATTAGGGTTTTGGATTCTAATTGTTTTCCGGATTGAAAAAAGAAAGAACAGTAACGTAAACTTTTTCTCCGTTAAACGATGATGCGTCATGCTAATCACTACATATCTTTTTTTTTTCTTTTTTTATTTAATTTAATTAAATTACACGTACATCCCTGATGTATGCTAAAATAATTTGAAGGTCCTTATAGTATCGACAGTTACAATAACTCACTTGAAACATTGTTAGAAGCCCTAACTGAATAACGCAATAGATAAGTTATTCCGTTACGTTTCTAATAAATTATTAGTTTTAGTAAGTAGTGGAGATAAATTATAGGGTGACATGACTTCTTTAATATTTCTTAAATTCTTATTATTATTTTATATAAAATTTATAAGTTTCCCGTTTATGATAGTATTAACCGTTGATCATACACATAATAATAAAAAATCACTAGATGTATTTCATCGAGAGAATCACGTGAAAATGAATACAAGACTTTTGATTAATATAGAGGTGAGTTGGTAATATTTGAACATCATGGCCTAGATTAGGACAACGGGCCAACTTTGACAAATGAAAAGTCCAACTTGAATACTAATGGCCTATATTAAGACAACGGGCCAACATTGGGCTCATAATTTTCCAGTCCATCAGGTCCCATGCCCATAAAATATTATTATATTTATACACTTCCAGCGCGTGAAGCCCACTTTCTCACTGTGGCAAAAAAACTAGTAGTCAAAACCATCAATCTCAAAAAACCAGGCACAAAATCCTCCCACTTACTATTTTCTCTCTCCAAAGAAACTTAAAAATGGCTGCTGTTACTCTAAAATAAACCGTGACAGATTACATCTCTCTCTCTCTCTAAAGTTTTAATTGGAGATACAGAAAAAATAGTGTTGGTTCCAACTTCCAAGCAAAGAATAAAACCATCACGTCTACATCAAAGGCCACTTGATTTACCTCTCCGAATTCCAAAATTACATGATCGCCCCTTTTACCAAAATACTGTGTTCGAATTTTGCTTAACCTAATTACAGTTAACACATACCGCTGCTCCGAGTGCTGATTCAATTGGCAACCTTGATTTCTATTTGAAGGTGAAGATTTTTATGTATTTGGTTCTCTTATCTAGTTTTCGTCGGTTTTTTTTTTTGGGGGTGAAGTTCTCTTATCTAGGTTAAATTATGAATTATTTATTTTTTCCCCTCACAAATTATTCTACCTGGATTAAAGTTTCGAATAACGTTGTTTCTCAATTTCATGTGTGTTTTATGCAGATTTCTTTGGTCAATTTTGAATTCTTCTGTGTAGGTAAAGAATTTTGGCCTCTTCCCCTTTTATAATAGTTTTTTTTTAATCTTCCATTACATTTTTTAACAAAATTTCGTCCATATTTTGTTTATAAATTTGGTTGTGGAATCAGTGAGGTAGTTTGGGGCTTGGAATTTGTTCTTCGATGGATGAATTAGTCGGGCCTCGTCTGTACAGCTGCCACAAATGCCGGAATCACGTCTCTCTCCACGACGACATAATCTCTAAAGCATTTCAGGTGAATAAATTTATCGTCTGTTTCGAACAAAGTTTAAGACGCAATTATTTAATCTCTAGAAGTTTTATTACTATTAGTTTCGGTTGGATGAATATATTTTCTTATACAGGGAAGACACGGCAGAGCGTTTTTGTTCTCCCATGCCATGAACGTTGTTGTCGGGGCGAAAGAGGACAGGCATCTTATGACGGGCCTGCACACGGTGGCTGATATCTCGTGTGGAGATTGCAACGAAGTGCTGGGCTGGAAATACGAACGGGCTTACGAGGCTTCGCAGAAATACAAGGAGGGCAAATTCATATTCGAAAAGTCGAAAATCGTCAAGGATAATTGGTAGTGGTGGTGGTAGCCCCGTGTGGTAAGTTATATGTAATATATGATGGTCATTGGTTCATTATATGGGAGTTCATTATTCCTCAAAATGCCCTTTCTGTATATAGTCATTGTCCGGAAAACGAAAACAAAATCGGTAACACGTCCGGTTGAAGACACTGGTATCGTCTGATGTTTGTGTCGATTGTAAAGTTTGTTAAGGAAGTTGTTTATTGGGTTGATATATGTATATATCTTGTTCAGTAATCTTGTACATAACTTTTTAACTCATTGGATTCTATGTTTCGTTTATCGACAAAATGCCGTTTACCTAGCTTCATCAAGAACTCGATTCAATTGATATTTTTATTCTCGAACCTTTTGAAGTTTCAATGGAAACATTTCTCTACCGATGAATGGTGTTTGATCTTCTGATGAGCCGAGTTTGATTTTTTCTTGTGCTTGTGAGTTTCTTTTTTCATATTTTTTAATATAATAATAACAATAATAATATTATTATTATATTATAAATATTATATAATTATATTGCTATTATTATTAGTATATATTATTAATTTTACTGTTACTATTATTATTATTGTAGACCTGTTAAAAAGATGAATTGATTTAATTTATATATTAAGAGTATAATTAACTTTATTTCATAATATTAAATTAATATCAATCAAAATCACAAATCATTTTAATTAAAAATAAAACCCAAAAAAACGCAAACGAAAATCCGAATTTAGGTGCAATATAAGCGAATAGCGATATCAGCTCATTTGGTCTATTGTCGTTAGTTGGTGGTAGCAGAACAAAAAGACGCCACTCGCTCTCATCAGCGGGTCAATTCCGGGTCGGATCTCTCTCAGATCAAAAAAAAAAATGTACCTGAAGAAGCCGTTTTGGAGCGATACCTTGAACTCACCGCCGGAAGGTGAGTCGCAATCGCCGGTTCTCGAGCTAGTGAAATCTATCGACAAGCAGAGACTGTACCGCGAGGTGACGCTCGCCCTCCGAACCGGCCTCCGTGATGCCCGAGCCGAGTTCTCCTTCCTCCGTGTCCGCGGCCTCCGCAGCCTTCTCAAGTTCCTCCGATCCGTTGCCCAATCGGATCACACCATTAATCTCTTTTGCCACTCTCAATCCATTCCCCAACTCCAAGGTAATTTTCCGATATTTTTGCAACATTTAATTATATTTGTTGTTTCTCTGTTTTTTGTTTTCGCTTTTGTTTTTCGTAATTTGTTACGAGCAACGGATTAATTCAACTGTATGGAGGTGGATTGTATCGTTTAGGCATGATTTTTTAGTTTAAGAATTTGATGGTGAATTGCATTTCCGACTGTTAATTTACATAATTTAGACTGTTGATTTACATAATTTAGACTGTATTTTGGTTCTGCTCTTTACACAATGAGTTTGCTTTTGTTATATAACAGTGGTGCCAGTTTTATTTGAACATTCACTTAAAGAGGTGGAGGACCAAACAGTGTCTAATTTGAATCACATATTTACCGTTGTGCCGATGAAGATAACTAGTCCGTCTACTGATGCCGAAGTTGCTCTTGCTTTACGAGTTCTTGAAGGATGCTGTCTTCTTCACCGCGAGAGTACAATCTTGGCTCATCAGCACAAGGCAATCAAAGTATGTGACTGGAAACCTTGTTTTTTATGTTTTGTTTTTAATGTGAAGTAATCGTTGTCGGAATGTTGCAAAACGTTATCAACTGTTAGTACTCGGCCGTTAGTTGGAAAATAATTAGAAGTGAAAATTTTATATAGTTTGTTGAAATTTTTCCTTTGATGTGTATTCTTTAAGTACAATGATTCAGTAATGATTTTGATCAAGCTATTACAAATTCTGGATGTTAATGCCAATCCATTTTTATTTTTATTTTTAACGTTGACGTGTGATAGGTTTTGATGAATATCTTGTCAACTCGGGGAGTACTTGAGCAAGGTGCGTGCCTTGATGCTCTGATTGCCATTATGCTGGATTCCTCTTCCAATCAAATGGTATGTATTACTATATCGCAGGAAATGTTTTAAGATATTTGTTTTCGTACCCCGTACTAAAGTGTTCTTCTGGCAACATACATAACTTTCTTGTTATATTTGTTTAATCATTGAGGTCTATTACATGCCAGGATTTTGAGGCATGCGATGGCATAGAGGAAGTTGCTCATCTTATAAGAGATAAACAAGTAGAAGAAAATCTAAGGTATTTTTGTTTTGAGATCCATATCCAACTTTTTATTAGCTTAAGTTAGTAATCTTAGACATAATTCCCTCCATATTTGCCCATTGTCTGATAGTGCAGTTATGTAATCAGGTTGAAATGCGGTGAATTTTTGCTTCTTCTTATTGGGCATGTAAATGGAAGGGAAACACCTCCAATGCTGACTATAAACGAGGATGTAAGGCGATTCCTAGGTGAAAAATCTGCCTCCTTAATATGGGCAGCAAGTCAATTTGGATCAACCTTGGATCCAGATGAAAGATTGACAGCTTTGCATATTCAAGCCCGAAGGGTGCTCGAGTCAATCGATCTTTACTGACAGCACGCTTAAAGAAAGGAGCTATTGGCATTGTAAGACTTCTCTCAAGAACTTGCATGTCTCTTACATACTGTGAATGATTTTTTTTTTTATTTGAATTGTATCTTGTCTTTTGTACATAAATATTACAGGATTGTGATCAAACCTTAAATTAAACATGTTCGAATCTCATTTCTGCTGTTAAATTATCCAATACATCGTATATCTCTTTTGCTCTCTTGTGAGATCTGTCCCATGCCATAAAGACATGAGTTTCTTCTTTATCTTCAATCCAACTGCACCCCGGACTTTTATGCAGTTCCTCATCCTTCATTTGCTGTCTGACTTTTCTAAGTTCAACCCATTTACCTGTAGAAGCATATAAATTTGCCAGCATCACATAATTACTGGAATTATCCGGTTCCAACTCTATAAGCTTCCGTGCTGTTAATTCTCCTAGTTCAACATCCCCATGTGTAATACATCCACCAAGCAGGGCACCCCAAATCACAGCATCTGGTCTCATAGGCATTTCCTCAACCATCTCGTGTGCTCGTTTCAGCTTTCCCGCACGACTCAATAGGTCAACCATACATGTATAGTGTTTTAGCGTAGGTACTACATCACAAGACCCCATCAAACCAAAGAATTCTTGTCCACTCTCAACCGATCCTGCATGTACACATGATGACAGTACTGCTAGGAAAGTCACATTGTCTGGTTTAAATCCATCAATTAGCATTTCCCGAAACAGAGCTATTCCATCCTCACCATATCCATGCATGGCTAACGCAGTTAGCATTGCATTCTGCATGACCAGATTATAGTTTTCGGTCCTATTGTGGACCGTTTTAGCATACTTGATAAGCCCACACTTACCGTACATATCTACTACAGCAGCTCTAATGTACAGATCCGATTCGAATCCACATCTTATTGCGTATGCATGAACCTGCTTGCCTCGCTCAACAGTTGCCAGCCTTGAGCATGCAGGTAAAACTATCCCAACTGTGTAGATATCAGGCCTCAGATTCGAAGCCTGCATATCGGAAAATAACTGCAGAGCCAACTCATTATAGCCCTTCTCCACATATCCTGCAATTATCCCGTTCCAAGTATATACATCTGGTTCAAATCCATCGTTTTTCATCGTTTGAAGAATGCTTTGAATGCTTTCCATTTTGTTACAACTTGCATAACCGGAAACAAAAGTGTTCCATATTACTTGATCCTTTTTGGGAACCTGGTTTAAAGCTTTTTGTGCAGCTTCAATATCCAGGCATTGGCAGTACATGTCAACCAATGCTCCGCCCACAAATAGATTCGATTGGAGGCCTTTGACTATGCAGTACGAATGTATACCTTTTCCCAGCCTCAAAGAACGTGTTTCAGCGCAAGTGCTAAGCGCACTACCCAAAGTAAAAGAATCAGGTTCAGTAATCCCTCCTTTATTCATTAAATCTACGAGCAATCTCAAAGCCTCGTCGAACATGAGATTATCAGCATACCCAGAAATCATTGAATTCCACGAAATCAAGTCTCTTGATTTTCCCTCGTGTTCCATCATGTCGAATAGCTCTTTTGCCTTTCGAATCTCCCCGTTTTCGCAATATCCACTAATCATGGTATTGAAAGAAACCTCGTCTCTCACTGAAAACTTTGAGAATACCTTGAAAGCACTCTCCATAACACCACACCTTCGGTACAGATCTATCAGTCCGTTTACAATATAAGGGCTGGACATGAAACCGTGTCTTGTGATATATCCGTACAGCTCTTTTCCTACATTAAGTTTCTTTAATCTAGCACAAGCAGGAAGAACACTAGCTAATATCCGTGCGTTTGGTTCTAATCCCAAACCTCTCATTTTGTACAATGTTTCAATGGCTTCCTCATCGTACCCATTCTGTGCGAATCCACCAGTCAAAGCACTCCATGAAACGAAATTCGGCATAAAATTATCCTCCCTCGACATTTCCTCCAAAAAACCCAACGCTTTGAAAACCCGACCATTAGCAGTACAAGCTGTCACCATTGAATTCCAAGAAACACAATCCCTCTCAGGCATTTTATCGAACACCTTCCCAGCATCATTCAAGCTCCCACATTTGCCATACATATCAATCAAAGCATTGCCAACGTAGATATGCGATAAAACTCCAATCTTCATTGCTACACCATGCAACTGCCTCCCCAGCTCGATCCCACCATAGCCACCGCAAACCTTCAAAGCCACCGGAAAAATGAAGAACTCCAACTCGACATCCTCAAACAGCAATTGCACGAAGTAGTTCAAAGCTTCCGCGAAGAACCCGTTGTCCAAAAGCACATTCAAAAACGCGGTGTACGTGTATAAGTTTCTTTCGGGCATTTTATCGAACACGAGAGCTGCATCGTCGAGGCATCCGCATTTGGCGTACATCTGAAGCAGCTTGGTCTGAACAAACTCCCGCCCATGAAACCCATTTTTGATCAAGTGGGCTTGCACCTGATTCCCGAACTTCGGGCATGTGCAGGAATCGAGCACCGAAGCGTACGCGGAGGAATTGGCCTCGCCGTTGAGAAACGGAGTAATGGATTTTTGAATTTGAGAAACGGATTGGTCTGATAGCTGCTTGTTCGTTCTTGCCTCTTGCAAGGCGAGCCGGCTACCGAGCTTGGGGAAGCCGGCTCGATATTGGGTGCTTAATGGCGGCTCCGGCAGTGAAGATGGCGGCGGCGCGTGGATTGCAGGTTGAAACTGCGAAAACATTTTCGCCGGTTCTTGATATCTCCTTAATTCAACTTTATGCGGTGACGGAATGAATTCTAGACATTATCGTGTTGCATGGAAATATGTTAAAGTCAGTTTTTTTAGCTCAAAATTAAAGAAAATTTGAGAGCCAAAGAGAGATTAGAGTATGTGTAGTTTTACTTGTGACAATTAATTAAGTGATGTTTATATTTTAAATCATGGGCTTGGTCTTCTAAAAAAAGAAGACAATAGGCTTGAACTTTATATAAAATCTTTTTACTATAAATAAATTAAAACAAAACAAGGCCCAAAATCTCTTTAATCGTTTCGTCAAAAGCCCATGAAATTGTGGCTTTGTCTAAACGGTTATGTTAAGGTTTATGAAATCCTACTATGTGTTTTTTAATCATAGATCTACATAAATAATTATCAACTAAACGCATCTATATGGGGTTGTGTCTTATTAAAATGTGTAGATCATTAGGGCATCTCCGATCGGACACTATAACGCTATTTTTTCATCTAATTTAAGTGTTTTTAGCCTCCCACCCGAAATTCCTATATCACCATAACACCTAAAATTATAGAGATTTGGTTTTAGCCTCCCATCGTGGTCAACCCCCATATCACCAAATACTCAAATCCTATTTTTCCACCAAATTTTTTGGTGAAGGAATTTTCATCTCCCACCGGTCCACCATTTTCCTATTTTTTCCACCAAATCCTATTTTTCCTACCAAATATAGAGGTGAAAATAGGATTTGGCGTAATTAACATCATTTTATTAAGTACCATATAAAATGAGAATTTTAACTAATTGCACCCGATTACCAACTTATTAGCATATTTATAGTAAATAAATTGGTATTAATTATTAAATTAGTTTTTAAAATATAAATAAATTTGTTATTATTAACAAAACATTAATTTTAATAATATAAATATGCTTATTTTTAATTAATTTGTATATTTTGTTGGTATCATGTTTATTAGTTCATTTCATTACTTAACTAATACGCTAATTGCTATTAATAAAATATAATAAACAACAATAGAATGATTAACGAAACACACTTCAATTGATGAAATACAGAATGAGACATTTAAATTGAAATACATAGCTCATAAAATAACAAACAACATAACATGATAACAAAACATGATAAACAATAACACAAATTGTATAAATTTAAATCATCATGAACTGCTTATTTAAATTCTCATGTTGTACTTAATATATGATTTATGCAATAATTTATGAGATTATTGTTTATATATGATTTTATTATAATTAAAATAATTTGAGTTTATGTTATTTCATGTTTAGACAATTTTTTAAAATTGATAACATAATTTTTAAATTATATAGTTAAAAAAATTTATTACTTAACATTGGATCTATAATTAATATTTAGGAAATAAAATATTATAAAATTACGATTAACATTATATTTATAGTTTTGGGGCGTATATGGGAAAATGCCATGGGAGACCAAACCAAATTTCATTTTCTATAAGTGGTGAAATGGTGAAATATTATTATTTTAATATTTGGTCTAAAGTTTAGTGAAATCTACTGGAGACCAAAAACACCATTTTTCCACAAAAAATGGTGGAGAAGTAAAATGGTGTGCTACCGGTGGGAGATGAACCCATTTTTTCACCACTATAAATGGGATTTGGTGAAAAAATGGTGAAACCGGTCGGAGATGCTCTTAGTGTCAAACTATATGACGTATTTCACTAGGTGCAGATTTTATAAAATCGTATTATATATGCTAAAGAATAATACGTTTACACGTATGAATAGGATAAAAAGAAATATTAATTAGATAACTAAATTTTTTTTTTGTCCAATTATTTGTATCTTAACAAGTTCATAGATAAACGTGAAAGTATATCACTCAATATAATTTGAGCTTCTACCGTTAAAAATAAAATAAAATACAAAGGTGCTAGTGCTACATTAAGATAAAAAAAAAATGGAATTTTATTTAATTAAAAAAAGAATAGGAAAGAAGTGCAGATCATAATAAAATAATAATAATAGTGGTGGTGGTGGTGGTGGTGGGGAGATGATAATAAGAGGATTTTGGGGAGTGGGGGAAGGATAATTCTTGAGCACGCTTGCCGGAGGAGAATGTTTTTGTGGGCCCCACGTACTCTTTTTTTTTTCTGCTGTAATAAAATAAAGAATGTGTGTGAGTTGTGATTGCCAGGTCAAGTCAGGTTTGCTACTCTACTACGTGTTCATACTTATCAATTTCGTTCAACTCTAATTAGTAATTACTACTAATTAACTACTCGTTTCATCACTCATTATTATTACATACTGTATTATGTTTTCTGTTCTGCCTTTCCGCAACATTTCAAATTAAAGTTTTTGAATAATTACTACCAACTCCCCATGTACTAATTTATTCATTAAATTAATATGATTGTCCTCCCACATTTTTATTGGATCATACTATTATTTTTCTCTAATTATATAAACATTTGTTTAAAAAAAAAAAAAACAACAGGGTAAATACTAGTAATATTTTTCGTTTTTACACACGTCGGAGTATTTTTTTTTATTTTTTATTTTTCACTTCACCTTACGAGAACTAAAAATTGCACAAACTTTGAACCCTAAATCGACTATTAATCGTCGAGAGAACGTCGATTACTTTTAATTTGTGAGATTAATATTGATCAAGAGATTAATATTTAAAATACAAAATCCAATGCATTTTCATAAAAATACGCCATATTTTAGGGCTTAGAACCCTTGATAATTAAAATTTTAAATTGGGTTTTAATTAGTGGCTAACCATGTGCTAAAAAGAGCATGAATGATGGGCCAATACCTAGTTATTTGTTTCTATATATTTTGAATTGATATATGTATGTAATAACTTTAATTTGCTAAAAATGTAGTTTAATAGTTGCAAGAATCTCAAAAAGAAAACATTCATATTCATGTTTCTGGGTAAGACCTGTCTGTCAGTCCTCAACTATTAGCCAAACAATAACAAACCTACAAACCATTAATTAATTATAATTAAAAATAACAAAAATAAAATTAAAAAATATCTGGTAATTGTCAAAAGATTGAAAGACAGCCATAATTGCAACTCACTTTAGAAACACAAACATAAATTAATACAACTCTACCTTGGTGTAATCAATCATCAATCCCACTAAATCACCCTCTTCCCCTAATTAATTACTCCCTACTTAATAGCTCAGCTAATTAGCAATTAGTATTTTATTTCTTGGAAATCCAATTAAGTACAGTAGAAATCTTTCTGGGACAACTAACACTAGACAATTTGGCATGCAAAATTTTCAATTAATATTGTGACAAATGGAATAAACTTTAATTCAACAATGGGTTCATATTACAAGTCCAAGATTCACTGATCATCAAAGAAAAACACAAGGAAAATTAATTCTTGAATATCTGCATGCCAAATATATTGCAGTACCAAGTTGAATATAATAATTCAAAAAAAAATGTGAGGCATTTACATTATGACAAGACAGAAGCAAATCTGGGAAACAAGATAGGAAGAAATCCAACACAAAGAAGCAAAGTCGGAATATAAATAAAAATAAATTGAGACAACAAACCAAAAAAAAAAAAAGAAAAAAAAAAGAAAAGAGAACACGTGCCCAAAAACTATCATCTGTTAGTTCTGAATTAACACATCATTTCGTACGTACTACTTTGTAATAACAAAACCAAAGACAAGTCACTCGCCACCACCACCACCACCACCACCACCATGTAATTAAGAAAAAAAGAAAAAAAACCTGAAAACAAATAAATATATATAGATTACTAATTAAGATAAAATAATTATTAAAAAATCACCAGGAACCTCCAGCAAGCATTCCATTCCAGTAGCCATTAGTGATTTCCCCATCTTGCCCTCCCCCGCCTCCTCCTCCGTGATCGTTATCTTGCCGTTCAAATTCATCAGTAGCTGAAACCGGCTTCAGTTCCTCAAACGGAAACAGAATCGTCGACGGAATATTCGCATTGTGATGATGATGATTCTGTAATATATTATTATTATTATTATTATTCCCATATCCAGTCTGATCAATCCCGTCAAGCGAAAACCCCAAGCTCGGCTTGTAATCATGCACGCCACCACCACCTCCAAACCCGGTCGAGTAAACCGGGTTCGGATCTGCAGAAACTGACATATTATTATTATTATTATTAATATTCATGAAAGAAGCCATGAAATTTCCTGTAGTGGAAGAAGAGCTCTTGAGAAGATCCAAATTATTAGGGTTTCTAGGGTTGAAATTCTTATTGCCCAGGCCGAACGGTAATCCGGCCACGTAATCATTGCTGTAGTAAGACGACGTCGGATTGTAAGCTAGATTCAGGTCGTTGCCGATTTTAGGGTTTTGTGTGGAGAAAATTGGAGGTGCTAGATCTGTCAGGATTTTCTTCGAGGCGGCGGCGGCGGCGGCGGATGAGGAGGAGGAGGAGGAGGAAGAGGATCGTTTGTTCTTCCTAGAGCCGCCGCCGACGGGGACGTTTCTCAAGGAACCGCCGGCGGTCCAGTACCTCCGACAGGTTTTGCAGAAGTACCTAGGTTGGGTAAGACTGTAATTGTTGTAATAACAGAACTTTGTGTTGGTTGAATTGCATCTTGGGCAGTTTACAGGCTGGTCTTTGTCTGGTCTTGGCTTCTTCTCTACATGACCTCCATTAATGGATTTCGAGTTGTCTTCCACTGCTTTCACAACTCCAATACCCTAATTATTATTATATATAAATAATGAAATTAAAATTAAATTAAATAAATTTAAGAACAAGAGATCAAACAATAGCAGACAAAGATGATGATCATGGGTAGCTAATAACTCAGAAACAAAGCAATAAAAACAAATTAATTCAGCTTTATTTCTTTCTCTCTCTCTCTCTCTCTAGCTTTGTTGAAGATGGATGAGAGAGAGAGAGAGAGAGAGAGAGGAGAAAGTAAGAGAGATGATGAGCACTAGTTTCCATACGCAAGAAAACATTTAGCAAAAAATTAAAAAGATTAATTAGTGGGGTTTTTGATCATCTCATCTACTGGTAAAAGTTGCTAGCTTTAAATTATCTATATTTTGTTTTTGCAAAACCCAAAGCAAAAAAGAGAAAAACAAAGACATGCTAAATTAGAGGTAGAGAAAAATAAGTAGTAATGATATCATGGAGAGAAAAAACATGTTTGTTTTTTGCTTTACCTGTGGCCACTGAGCAGTATCCATAGCAGAAAGAAAGAATTGAGGGGGTGGGGGGAGGAGAGAGAAAAAGAAAAGGTGCAAGGGAAGAGAGAGAGAGAGAGAGAGAATGTTGAAAGAAAGAGAGAAAGGTGGTCTTAAAGCAAGAAAGCTACTTGAAGAGGTTGTCTTTGGCGGTTGGTTGTATATGTTGGCTTCCTCCTCTACTAATGTATGATGAGCCCGCTGCTAGTGGGGGAAAAAAGGAAGTTTCTTTTCTTTTTCTTCCAGGCAGGGGTACTTTTGTCCAATTTTTTTTTATTTTTTTTAAATGCAAGAATGTTTAGAAAGCAAATTTGATTTTTTTTAGAACTAAAAAATGCATGGCAATTTCGTTATATAAAATTTTGAAAATAAAAAATCGGAATTTTGGAAATTTATATAATTCTTTTGTACAAAATAAAAATAATAATAATAATAACAAAAATCCATTTCAATCACCTATAATGTGAAATGCATACCGATATTAATGTTGTAAGTGTATTTTTTTGAAGAAAATAATGGAATTAATTTCGGAAATCGTAATCTCATATAAATGTAAACATCGATCCGAAAATCAAACTTGGGAAAATCGAAAATCGTGATAACTTTAACTACTTTAATTTTGAATTCGACATAGTTATTAGTGTACCTCTTCGATCAAACATGTTTTTGCACCTTGTGGCTTTTTTTTTTCTTCTTTAAATAATTTGGTTTAAAACTCAAGCTATTATTTAAAAAATGTTTATTTCAGCCTAGAAAATCATTTTATATTATTTATTTAGTTTTTGAGTTCGATTATATTCTTAAAGAGTCTGCAATTTTGTGTAATTTTTTTCGAGTAGTTTATCCATGCATGTGTTTGTTCAAACTTCACACTTCATTATGGAGTTTCTTAATCACATTTTACAACTTAAGTAAACCATTAATCAAAACCACACCATTTGTCCAAATTTGTTGCTTTAAATAGAATTATTTTCGATGCATAGTGTCCGATGCAATGTTACATTTCTGATATCAAGAATTGTCTAGAATTTGACTTTATTTTTGGTTCAAAAAGTAATGTCTTGCTCAATTGAGAACAAATAACATGGAAATGTCATTCAAAGAACACAATTTACACACACACAAAAATGCTACTAAATTTGGATATGAAATAATGAGCAGGTGGGATCAATAATACGTAGGGCAAAATTACAAGGAGCCCCTGAAGTAAGACTTAATTACGAAAAAATCCTTATTATTTGTATAATTACGGTTGCCACCATGAGATTATATTATCCGTCTAACAAATTCACCTTCACATAATTAAAAGTAACGGAATTAAATAGATGGGTCCATTTGATATACACCCCTAGAATGGAAAATATATAGGGATAAGTCCACCCCTAAAATTCTTTCTTTGAGATACCCCCCTGGAGGGGCAAAAGTACTATTGTGCCCTTATTTATAATTTTTGCCCAACTGCATTCAGCATTTTGACAACTGCATTCAGCATAATAGCCAACTGCATTCAGCATTTTGCCAACTGCATTCAATATAATAGCCAACTGCATTTAGTATTTTTGGAGCTGCATTTATCATTTTTCAGAATTTTTAATAAAAAATTATAATTTTTTATTTTATTATTATTATTCATTTTTTTTATTATTTATTTTAAATTTTTTTATTTTTAAAAATTTTCATATTTTCTAATTATTTACTTTTTTTAATTATTTTTTTTATTTTTTTATTTTTTTAATTTTTAATTTTTTTTTTTAAATTTTTTTTATTTTAAAAAATATTTTTTCTATAAAATTTCCTGTACATAACTTGACTACATGTGACTATAGTATATATAGTCACGTACCTTAGTTATATATAGTCGACCGACTATGTATACCGCTAATTATATACAAAAAGGAACTTCATCGACACCAACAACAAAAATCACAATTTAATTATTGATATTATAAATCAACTTGTACAAATATAGATCGAAATAAATATTGATATTATATATCAAATTGTACAAATATAGATCGAAATACACAATCACATGCATATGTTCTTCAATAAAGAACAAAATCATCATCATCACTCAATATTAAAAACACACATAACCCAGACATGACTACATGTTACTATATGTTACTATATATGACTATAGTAACATGTAGTCATGTTACTATATGTTACTATATATGACTATAGTAACATATAGTCAGGTTACCATATATGTAGTAATGTTACTATATATGACTATAGTAACATATAGTCATGTTACCATATATGACTATATTAACATGTAGTAAAACACTTCTCCCCGTCATTTCTTACTGTATAGAAGTGGCAAAAACAACAATCCCTGTAGCAAAGAAAATTTCAGTTAGAGAAAACGAAAAGCAAAAAGTCTTGCGACAAAAAAAATACGAGTTAAAGAGAAAAATGGAACATGCGAGTTAGATTAAACGAAAAATACAAAAAAAATGTTAATTTTTTGTACTGAAATCGACTACAAATGACTATAGTATACTACAAATTCTATAGTCATATATAGTTATATGTAGCCATGACTACATATGATTGTATATGACTACATATAATTGTACATTCACCTGACTCTAATCACCCAACTACTGATTAAGTTTCTACTACTGATAAACAAAGCCCTCTCACTTAAAGCATTTCGCATCATCTTCAAATAGTAGATCTAGTTTGAGCTCTCCATCAACCAAAAAAGAGATTTGCAGATAAAACAATTTTAAAAGGCCAAGATCTACCACTGTCTAAGTACTATATCATATATACCAAATATATGTTTAATTTCCAAATAACCTGACCCCATTCAATATCGGAGTCCAAAATATTTCTACTGTTTAACAATTGGCATGCCATGCCAATTTTACAGACTTATTTTTAAAGCCTAAGCTTTAACCAGAAGAAAACTTACATTAATTAAAAGATGATTTGTTTTATTTTAACAGAGAATACCTTCCCAAGCCTCTGCCGCCCGTCATCAACCTCATCTGTTGTGCATCTTCTTCGTCAGGGCCAGATCTACCGAGAAAGAGTTTTATGGATAAGCGAAGCCTTATCCATAACCTTCAGCACAAAAAAAACACCGATTTGTTCCTAGCGAAGCAAGAATATGAGCAGGCGAGTCGATTCTCTTCTTCGACTTGTTCTCCGTTCGTCGCCGGAGACTTTTCTGTTTTTTTTTTTTTTTTTTTTTTGGCGATAGAGTTAGAGAGACGAAGAGAACGAGAGATGAAGAGAGGGAGAGGGGAAGAGATTAAGTGGCGGTTGTTGTGGGTGTGAAAGAATGAGAAGATTAGGGTAAATTGAAATTAAAAGGGCAAAACTGGTAATTCAAGTTCCATCTCCGGGTCTCACTAATTAAGATTGAAATTTGGGTTTTTAACTAAGACAAAATAATTCATTGGACTTCCTCATATATATTTTCAAAACTCAGGGGGTTATCACTCATTTACCCATATATATATATATATATATATTTTCCTTATTTGCAAATAAGTTTGAATGATGTAGATTTATTTGCAAGACAAAAAAGTTGAATGTCCATTTTTCAATTAAATACTCTTATCATGTGCCTATTTGTCGTTTCCGAATTTTCATATATTGGATGTAATTGTTTGACTCATCAATGTACATTAAAAATAACTATTTACTTGTAACATCAAATTTCGTACAGTTAATCCTAGATGTAAAAGGCAAGTTAAATGAAATTTGATGCTACAAATAAGGGTAAATTATTCTTGAAGTCTGCTAAAATAATTTTAAGGTCCCCTTTCTATTGGTAATTACAGTTGCACCCATGAAACAATTGCCGGAGCCAAGATTTCCTGTCCCGGGGACCGATATGCACTATATTTATTTGCCATGGGACCATTAATGCTATCATAGATGAAAATTTTTATATAAAATAATAAGGATTTAAGAAATGTTATGAAAGCCATGTCACCCCTAACTCTATGTTGTCTCCACCATTGCCTAAAACTATTAGATCATATATATATATATATATATATATGTATATATATATATATATATATATATATATATTTTTTTAATTTTCAAATCAATATATGTTTACTGTACTGAAATTAACTACATGTAACTGTAGTAACTATGGTAATGCGTAGTTATGTTCTTTTTTTTAGCCCATATTTTTAGTCGATCAATTATGTACACATACACAAATACTGGCTAATAGAAAAGAAATTCATAAACCCTAACAACAAAAAGTTACAAATTTCAATATTTATATTATAAATCGCCTCAAAATCAATAAAGTACAAATAAAAAATACACAAATATACGCATATGTAACTACATGTTACTATAGTAATGTACAGTAATGTATACAGTTTGTTGAATAAAGCAGATGTAACTTCAAACAAAAATTTTGACACCTTCAAGGAAAGGATCAATTGGCCTTCATTAAGCTGAAATTGCAAAATCAAAACAAAAAAAATATTTTAGTGCAAATGAACAAAAAATAAAGAAACATCCTAAAAAAAACACTAAGAGATCGAGAGAAATAAATCTGAAAATATAAAAATCAAATATAAAAATAAAATAAAGTATAAAAATATAGAAATAAATCTGAAAATATAAAAATGAATGAAATTGACATCAAAATATAGATCCGACGAGAGGAATCCAACGGTGAGTAGCCCGTCAAATTCCGACTAACGAAAAACAAATTACACCTCTTGTAAGAACACCGTCGTCGAAATACGCCGACTAAAAAAAATGCAAAAACAGATCTAGCACTCCAAACTGAATGAAATACCCAACAAAAAAAAGAGCTTGACGAAAGGAATCCAACGATAGTTGAACCATCAAATTTCGACCACCGGAGAGAGAGTTATGACTCCGAGAAGCAAAATCGCCGGTTAGAGACCTTGGGGGGCGGTATTTGGATCTGGGAATTGAGAGAGGAAGATAAACACCGATATGGGTTGGGCTAGGGTTTAAAACTGATTTAAAAGGGTATTCTGGATACTTCAGAGTGGGCTAGGATGGTATGTCAAATTATTATTCAAATGGAGGGGGTTTGCACTAGGGTGTAAACAACATGGTAGTTATATATATTTTCGAAATGAGGGGGCCTCTAAAATAATCCCTAAAAAAACTAGGTAATATTAAATTATAGGTTAAATTACGATCACCCTCATTCCTGCGGCAAATTACTAAAATATCACTCATCCCTGATTGATTATAATCACCCCTAATTATTAATCTCTACACACACCAACCCTTATGACATCAAATTAAATAAAATCTTCTAGATTATTTAGAAATATTTCTAGTTTGTACACCTTTTGTACAAAAATGCAGTTTTTGATTCAATGTACTGTGACATTCACAAGTCAAGAGACACAAATCTTACGATCATCTTGCTTCAAAATGTGGAGCTCGAATGGAGTAAAAAAACGGGTACAAACTGGATAATATTCCACATAATCTAGAAGATTTCATTAAATAATTTGACATAATAAAGTGAGCACGTAAGAAGGTTCATAGTTGATGGGGCAAAATAGTAATTTCCTAAACATGAGAAGTTTTTTTGTAATGTGATCTTACCTTTAGGGATGGCCGTAATTTAGCCTAAATTATATATACATTTAATTATATATATGATATTCCAATTGTGAGAGAGAAAATTAATTTTGTTTTGGTTTTTCTGGCAGCTACAAAGAGGTATTTAATTATCTCGATTAATTAAAATGTCAAAAAATCTTATAAGTAGTGTAAAAAGGGTTATAAAATAAACATTATTCCTCAGGAAAAAACTCTTTAATTTAAATTAACTAATAAAAAAATAACAATCTTAAATTAAAATAATTTTAGTTAAGAGACTTTGAAATAATTTTAAAGTTACATATATGGTAAATATTTGTACGTGAGACGTACGCCACTGCCGGCACAAGCTAGCAGTTCAACCGACTACTAGCTAATAACCTAGCTCGGAAGCACTGTAATCATTCGGATGCTCAAAATCCACTCTTGCTAGTAGGAATTTGGCATCGACGCGCCAGTTGAGATGCACACATTTCCTTCGAGTGTAACAAACGCGTCAGGCATGTGCGTCGCTTCAGGCGGATTATCAGCCAATAATAACTTTTGTTGTGGTTCAAAAGAGGCATCATATTCGTCTCTTTCCTGCTGACCATAAAAGTCGCAGTACTACGGACAAGAGTGGTAACATTTTGCCAGGTACAGATTATTTATTAATGTTTAATATAATTTATTTATTTTTTTCTTAATCTTCCCAATTTGTGTGTATAAATCATTGTGTTTTTGTGAATTAGGTACTGTGGTTGATACCAAGATTTGCCACCCCAATGAATTCGATTTCTATCTTTGCAGCCATGCTGGGATCCAGGTACAATCTTGTAGCACTTCAAATAATTCGTTGAAAATTTCAGCTTGTATTATACATATATATCTCGATCTATACTTTGCTCGTATTATAATACATTTTTTTTAATAATTCTGGTCTTGATAGGGAACTAGTCGTCCAGCACATTACCATGTGTTGTACGATGAAAATCGGTTGAGTGCAGATGCACTGCAAATTCTTACCAACAACTTGTGTTACACGTAAGTATTCGTTCGTTATAAATGTCGAATACAATCATACTTTATTTTTTATATACTTCAAATAAATTGACTTCAATTTTTTCAATTTTCCCCCTCAGATATGCAAGGTGCACTCGCTCAGTTTCCATAGGTAAGATATACAGCCTTCAATCTGATTATAATCTTTCAATTCTTTTTTGTTCTACTCAGTTACTCTTTATATTAACTTGAAATTGATTGTCTGTTGTGCAGTCCCACCAGCTTACTACGCACATCTTGCTGCATTCCGAGCCCGTTACTACATTGAAGCGGGAGAATTCTCCGACAGTGGATCTGCTGCAGCGGGCCCTGGTGGAGCTATGAGGGAGAGGGTTGGAGAGGTTCGGGCTCTGCCTGCAATTATGGATAATGTTAAGGATGTCATGTTCTACTGCTGATTTTGGTTGACTTAAAAAACTTAACTACAGGACTACATCTTTTTGTCTAGATTCACATGTTTTGCTGATTTTCGATTGATTTAGAAAAAAAACTACATCTTTTTGTCTATGAACTTATGTTTTTCTAGATTTCTCTTTTTCGTTGCTAAAATATGCTATGATACCTAAGGTTGTTTTGTCGTCGTAGGTTGAAAAGAATTATGTGCCGTCTGGCTAATGATTCGATGGCAATGTTATTTAGAATATTTGAACTTCAATTGTGTTGGGATTAAAGGAATTTGATCGGTTTTCTTTTTGTTGAACGTATATGTTCTGTGAGTGGTCGATTTTTTATTTTTTTTTATTTTATGAAGACAGGTACATATTGCTGCATATAGTGATACATGTGACTTATGTATTTGATTTATGTTGATATAGTTACTTTAATGTATAATGTGTTTATTGTAATTTACGTAATATGCTAATCATGTCGGAAAAATTATCGAAAAAGAACTACTGTTATGTATATATAAACTTAAAATAATTTTGTTTAATATTCTCAAAGCACAACCAAGCAGTATATAATATAAATTCGATGATCTTGGATTACATTAAATATCTAGACAACAACAAAATTAACCGAATCTTGTAGTATTGGTTGAAATTCTTTCCGCACACGAGCGATTGTCCTCTCTCGGCTTGTGTAGCTTTTGTCGGAGCTAATTTTCACGATAAGTTCTTCAAGTGCCGTAGCTTTTCCAACAACGAGCACCCCGAGATCCAATTCGTTCGGGGACGCTTCGAGTCCCGACAGTTTCACCGTTTGCGGATGATCATCATTTGAGGCCTTGTTCACCACCTTCATATGATAGTACTCTTCGTGAAAGTTTGTTGACGTAAACTGCAAAATTATAACAATATATTAATATACATATATGAATATAATCGATTCCAGTTGATCAATTTTTGGATAATATATAAAATATTAGGATATATAAAATACCTTAATCTCGAGTCTTTGCAAGCACGGACAAGCGTCGATGAAACGAACGAGGTCGTGGAAGCTACAAGTATTCCTGTATAGATGACATTCCAACTCCACATGTTTAACCTTCGCCAATTGCTCACTAATTATATTGCCTCGCGAGAGGATTTCAGTTCCGATCTCGACACAATTAGTGTCCAACTCAACAAGCCTCGGCACATTTTCTATCACGCGGAGACAATAATGCGGAAATTCATGAAACCTCATAGATTCGAGGTTCGTCATGTCTCTAATCTCCATGGTTTTGATACTCCAACACGTACTTATGCTCAAGTGCTTCAACTTTGGCGCCAAATCGCCAGATATACGCACGTCGCTTAATGCATCGTTACGCGAAATCGAGAGGCGCTCGAGAGCGACGGAATTCAAAAGCAGTAGCCTCAAACCCTCGTCGTCGAAATCAACGCCTTGTAAAGATAGTTCTTTTAGGGATTTGAAGGCCGGTAAGTTTCTTTCGAAATTACAAGGAGGAATGGGAAAACGGGCCGATGCGTGAACGGAATTTAAGTGTAGGTGGATGGTTCGGACGACTTTTTTGGAAAACGCGAAATCGAGCCACCTCCCGATTGGCCATGTCGTCTCGTCCGACCACGTGTTTATCTGGAACCAAGGTAAGTAGAGTTGAATTTCTTCTAGAGCCGCACCTCCCTTGAGTGAATCCAATGTGCGATCGATTATGCTAGCGCAATTTCTTACGACCTGCTCCTCGAATACTCGATCTTCACCTTTTTTGTTGCGGCCGCGCTCCTCTTCTTGATCTTTAAATGCTTGTAGTTGTTTGGAGGTTGGAGAAAAATCGAGGCGGGTGATGTACATGTGGAGCCCACGCCAACGTGTGGATAAGACGCTCGTGCACACAGCTTCGGCCACCGTCAGCCGTGAGATTATCGATACGAGAATATCGTCCGGCAATTGGCTGATCTTGTCCACCCCATCATCATCATTATCAATATTATTAATAATCTTACTATTACTTGCTGCTGGTATTTTTTCCTACAGAAATAAATTAAACATATATATCGAAACACATTACTCTTCAATTCAATACACAAGAGAAACACAAAAAATAAACTGCATTATGCATCTTGAATGTACGATAACATAAACAGAGGAATCTATTCACAAACACCTATATATATATATATAATAATAAAAAATAAAATAAATTTGAGGATATAATACCGATTAGAAAATAAACAAGATGTTGAAGTACGAACTATAACAATATATATATATAATAATAAAAAATAAAATAAATTTGAGGATATAATACCGATTAGAAAATAAACAAGATGTTGAAGTACGAACTATAACATGCTCCGATGCAATGAAAAATATCACAAAAAAAAAATATAAACAAGAGAGATTTAATTAATAATTACCTTAAGTAGATTTTTATCTTTATTAATTTTCATGTAATTTCTCTTCCTTCTCGTCGATCTACTGTTCGTCATCTCTAATTAATTTATCTACCAAGCAAAAGACAGAGCGTTCTTCAATATGCGTACGTAGTATGGATATTTATAATATATACATCGACATATACATATATATAGAGAGATAGATAAAGATTAGGTTTCATATAATCTAAACAGAATCACATTAGAACTAGATTTTATGTATATTTTACCATAAATAAATAATATTAAAGGCAGATTTGCATTGTAATTAGGGTACACGTATATTTTCCTAATCTTTATATATAAAAAAAAGTTTTGTCCTGAAACCTAATTGGCAGTTTTTGTGAACTTTTATAACCCTAAGGATATTTTTGTCGTTTTCCTAATTAATTTTTTTAAAACTATTCTTCGAACAAAGTATTCCTCTATCTGAAATTTGTAATCGGAACACGTTCTGCTTATAGGGTGTAAAAACTTTATGACGGGTTCAAAAGAATAAAAAAAAGATCCTAGAGTATAAATATAGATTTTTTGTGGATGATTGTACTTATATAATTTTAATTTTTAAATTCAAAAAAATAAAGAGTTCTTATCATATATAAGTTTAGGTAAGATAGTTTTTTACATTAAACCAAAAGAACAAAATCTTCCCAAGAGAATTTGTTCTTCCTTTTATCAGTGAGAAGATATTAGATTTTTCTTTTCTTATTCAAGAAAGGAAAATCATATATATATATATATATATATATATATATTTTTCACGTTACGTTTAATATTTTTGGTAATGCTCCATCGAATATTTTATGTGTCTTTCACCTTAACAGGGGGAATTTGTTGTCAGGGTAATTGGTAAAAAAGTGTCCCTGTTGTTACTTGGTTCAAGTTTGTGTTTTAAGGCTCTTCTAGATTTGTATAACTTTGAGGATGTATTTTTATCATATTTATTTGTAGGAATATTACTCTTTTATTGTAATTTAAAATTTATTATACTGTATATAGATTTTTATTGTCATGTGTTTGACTAATAATTTATTTTCTCCTTTTATTATATATTCATCTGTGCAACGCACGGGGCAAAAATACTAGTAGCGATTAATAAGGTGAATTTTGAGTATTAAGTTATATTATATTACGTAACATATAATAGAAAAATATGACTTTTTGGGCTAATTAAATTAATATTAATTTTATTAGATAAAGTGGGTCTCTCATCTAATAAGGAATTCGGACATAAGATTAGACACGGTCATGGGCCGGTTTTCGGCTCGGAACCGGCCCGTTGACAAACCGGACCGGCCCGGTTCTTGAAATAGGTGAACCGTGAACCGCCGGGCCAGCCCTGCGGTTCACCCGAAATAAGAAAAAAAAAATTAGAAAAAAGCTGAAAAGGCTTAAAAACTTGAACCGGGCCAGTGAACCGGCCGTTAATTGCTCTTTTCTTAATTTTCCCCCATTTTTTCGATAAATACCCTCACACCCTATTTTTTTTCTATAAAATTAAGTTCAAGTCATTTTATTTATTTTCTTTTGTCTTTTTCATATTTAAAAGTAATTCTTTTAATTTATTTATCCATCAAGTATTTTCGAAAAAAGATATTACCTATATAAATATAAATTTCCGGGCCAACCGGAAACCGGCCCAGATAGGCCAAGAACCGGAGTGAACCGGCGGGCCGACCCGGCCCGCCGAACCGGGTGTAGTACGGGCCGGTTCCGGTTCCGGATAAAATGAACCGTGAACCGTACCGGAACCGGCCCGAACAGGCTCATGGCCGTGTCTACATAAGATTATACCTTTTTTGGTCTTGGGCCTATCAAAAGCCCATAGTCATTAGAGATTAAAAAAACGGCGTTATCTTACATACCCCCTCCCCCAAATAAACTAGAATAAACCCAAACCCAAATCATCATTTGACATACCCCTGGAGAAGCAAAAGTACTATACTACCTTTATAAACAAATTTTCGGCCAAACCACATTCAACATTTCTGATCATGTATTTATCATTTTCGCTAATTTATTTATTATTATTTTTCTCTCTTTTTTTTTTCAATAAACCTGTTTGTTAAATATATATATATATATATATATATATATATATATATATATATATTTATTGTAATATATATCCACTCTAAGGTACTTGTGGAATAAGTCAAAACGTGTCATCCTCTCATCTTTTTGATAAGCATGACAAATCACTTTGAAATTCTTGTATAAATAGATGGCACCATCTATGTGCCTTCAAAAGAAAAAGATGGCACCATCTATGTAAATCTATACAGAAGCTTTTGGCTTCAATAAGAATTCAGAGAATTTTTTTCTTACAGCATACAACTTCAATATACAGTTTTTATATTGCACACACCTTGTTCCATTTATTCGTATAGTTAATATATGTATTATACTAAATGATTATTCTATAACACGTTATCACCACGAGATTTTGCTCGATAAGGATTTGCTATTTTCGTATTCTTTTTTCTATTTTATTTTATGAAAATCCAAATCCTCGATTTATTGTCGAAAAGACAAACGAGAATGATTAGCGAATACTTAGGTATTTTATACGCTATCATTTCTCAAAGGATATGATGGATTCGTGTATATTAATCTATTACTTATTTATTTGTTGAATTGCTGTTG